TTTGTAATAGCTTAGGAAATGTCTTTAAATTCGTAGTTAACACGTTAATTAGGGTTAGGATTATGTGTTAATCCTATAACCCAAGTAGGGGCCAATTGGGCCCAAGTTCGGACTGGTTTGGGCCAAGTTTGAAGCCCAACCAGTGAGCTAAAATAGTGTAGGCGGTGGCATCGCCAGACTAGGCGATGGCATTGCTCAGAACCTAAGGATCAGGCGATGGTACCGCTGGACTGGGCAGTAGCACCGCCTAGCACCCGAGAGGTCGGGCGGTGGCACCGCCAGCCTCGGGAACCCAAGAGAATTTAAAATTTGGAGCCTAAATTTGAATCCTCTTGGGGCCTATAAATACCCCTCAATTCTCAGCAGAGAACACAACCTTTGAGAAGCAAGAGATTGAGATAAAAGTCTTAGCAAAGTCTTTAGCAAGTTTTTGTTTTCAATAGCTTGAGTGTTCACCTCCATCTTTTTCTTTGAAAATTTGTAAGAGTGTGAACCACTTGTAAAAGGTTGTAAGAGGGGTATTTGTCCTTCCCCTTCAAAGTGATTTACTAGTGGAAGTTGGGAGCCTTATTGAAGAAGGCTTCCTAAGTGGATGTAGGTCATTTTGACCGAACCACTTTAAATTGGTGCGTTCCTTGAATGTGTGAGTTCTTACTTTTCTGAAACCATTAGTTACATAGCAACAAGCTTTCGGTTTTCATCTTCTTACTTTACTCGAGCAACTTTCTCCAAGTCATTGACGAATTGAAATCTCTACGCATTTACGAAATCATTTTTAAACTTACGAGTTTTAATCCACTGCACTAATTCAGCCCCCCTCTTAGTGCCGCTCCGATCCTAACAAGAGGATCATCTACTCTCGGTGTCATAAGAGAAATATCTCATATATTCTTGCTCGGACAAATCTCTGGCTAAGGTCATTCAGATTGAGAGAGAAAGAGTTCTCTAGGAGAATCCGATTAGAGCGAGACTCGAGTAGAAACTATATGGGTCTGATAACACCATACTCGATATATGGTCTTTGGGATATTAGATGGATGAGGGACTATAAGTACATGATAATTGAGGATAGACAGGTCCAATGGATTGGATTCTCCTGTACTGTTTGGGGACTACGACGTAGTGGCCTAGTATGTCCGTAGTCGATGAGTCGAGTGAATTATTATAGAGATAATAATTCACTGAGTTAGAAGAAGTTCTGACAGGTATGACTCACGACTAGCTCGATATTGGGCCTAGAGGGTCATACACATATGATAGACATTGTGATAAGTAGAGGTTCGGATATGAGATATCTTCTGGAGCCACTATCTTATTGGATATCCAATAAGCCAATGAATTATTGGATCCTCTGGATGAGATC